GGCTCAAAATCTTGCGTGTTCATTTAAAAACTCATATATCTGTGTGGATTTTTACCGAAAAACGTTAATTAAAGACACTAGAACTGTACATTTTCGGTTTAAAGAACTCTCAAGCTATGGAAGTCATCAAATTTTGGCCGCCATTTTCTCGCTAAGTTTACCTCTGAAACCGGGCGACCCCCACCCCATTCAATCGTAAATTTCTCCACTTCCATTCAAGAAAGAGGGGTATTATTTTCGCCCAAAGCAAGGCAAATTAACAGGGTTTAAGATGATACCAATAACTCCATATGCCCGAAAATTGACGAGCGTCTGAATCCACCGCCTCGTGACACTCATCAATGTGGGATTTGACAAGCTCGAGGTGAATTCTAGAGTGTTGACTTATATACTTTCACTTAATGATTCTGAAGATTAAAATAAAAATATTATGGAGATTCGAACACCAATGCCTCGAATCCACCTCGAGGGAACACAGTTATGGAAAGTTGCTACTTTGACCCAACGTGTAGGAATCAATCCGAGATGTTGAGGATATTCCATTTTCACAAAAGAACAAACATACTCGATAAGATTTTGTGCGTAGTTGGTGGGTGCTCTTGTGTGGTTTAATCCTTCTTGTCTATCACACTTTTATCTTCCGTATCTCTCCCATTTCGCTTTTGTGTATGTTATTCATAGTGACTCGATCCTTTCGAAGATGGACGTCAAAGTCGAAGGTCTTGTCTCTTAAATAATCTAACAGTGTTGATATACCTCTAAAAATAAAGAAAGACAGATATAAAAGAAGTTTTTACCATCTAGACTTTAGTGTACGGCTATAGTCAGAATAAACATCAATGTGTATTGCTTTTTCGATATAACTCTAAAAATTTTCCAATTCAATTCCTGCATGTGGTTGAATGATGAATCAGATATGATATGTACATTTTTTAAGTTATAATTTTCTTTTCATATTGAATTTTAATGAGAGTAATATATGATTTACATTTTTATCTATACCTGCATGTTATTTACCTTCCGGTACAGACAAGAACTATCTTAACTCATCTTATAGAGGCGTTAAACCTATACCTTTTCACCATTGTTCACTGTCTAGTAACACCTCTCTGACCTACTGCACTTGTATGTCATATTTGTGTGGCAAGTGCCGTGCAATGACCCAACCACCGGACCAGGCTGTAAGTCTTGAAATGATCGCCCATTCACATGATGTGACGCGTTGTACTGAGGTTATCCCCCGGGGCGGTGATACTAACTGAAGTGTTTTTTACGCCATTCCCAAAAGGGGGACATTAACTTGTTCTTATGCATAGTAGAATTGTAGTTGTAAATTGGCTGATTCATCAATGTCATGCTCATAACTGTGCCTGAACTCCAGCAGGGAACTGCTGCTTTTTCTTTCCTAGTCCTTACTTTCGTCATTTTTCCTCTATTTCTTTTGTATGTTTGCCTCATTCTTGTGACCCGCTTGTTTCCGGGGTGCCTTGATAGTCGAAGCAGACTTTGTGCTGTTGAAGCTAGAGAGGTGAGCAGAGTAAGCCTGATTCCCCGTTTGGACTTCTCTGTTGACATCCACCCCTTGACGCTCATATGACCTTTTGCAATTGCGAGCGCCGTAAAACCTATACTGAAACTAAAATTAAAGTTTCTCCGAAGCACGCAGAAGACCCGGCTTGGGTCGCCTGTGGGAAGAATTGTTTTTTACGTGGCTCAGTCTTTCTCTCGAGACGTTGTATCCCTCTCAGCCCATGTTGGCCTCGACAGGCAGGGTTGAAGCCCGCCTCCTAAATGATCTAAATTATGTCGATGTGGGCTTAAAAGACCCACATTAAAAAGTATTAGAAGGCAAGGAACAGGCATACGTAACTGAAGAAGTTGAAAAGATTAGATACATATTTTTTTCTCCAGATCCTGGCACATTGATTTGGTGTTTCACCACGTACACACACACACACACACACACATACACACACACACACACACACACACACACACACACACACACACACTCACACACACACTCACACACACACATGCACACACATGCACGCACACGCAGGCTTACAGTGACATGCATAATAAATGAATGAACAGCAATATAAACAATAATAATCTTAAGCTAGATACACACTCAATGTTATTCTGATGCATGTACTAAGGTCATATGAATACTTATAACAAGATGGTTAAGATGGAAGAATTTTGATGGATGAAGTACAGAAAAGTGGGAAGAAATGGAAGAACATCAAGAGTTTAGCCCAGGATAGGGAAATCAGTAAAGTGTTTGTTCGTGACCTGAACTCTGATCCAGGGAGCTAAAGGCAACTGTGATGATGAACAAACATAGTAAGATATGTTTGTGATGTAAAATGGGTTGTTTTCTTCTTCTTTTTTGCAGCCATGGAGGACCGTGTAATGGCACCGTGGAAGAAGACACAGATGAAGGTTTTACCTCCACCAACATTAACTGGTGAGTGACGCAATTATATTGCAGTGGATGGTTGGCGGGTGCTGTTAAGAGGTTGGCTTTTCCTTTCCTATCAACAACAAACAACCATCGTCCTTATCTTTCTTCTTCTTCTTTTCTTTGTATGTTACTCTCTTTTGTGTGTTGGTCTCTGGTAACGCCTCTAATCTTTGGCACTTACTTGACCTATTTGTGCTGCAAGTGCCGTAAAACTGTTACTGAGTGGGTGGTTAACGGGTGCTCTGGTGCGGTTTGCTCCTTCTTTCCTCTCAAACAACTATCGTCTTTCTCTCTCTTCCTTTTTTATGTTTGTTACTCTCTTGTAACATATCTAACCTTCGGCACTTATATGACCTCATTGTGTTGCAAGTGCTGTAAAACTCTTAAGTAAAGTTGTTCCCGCATCCGATCCGGACATTGGGGATTCCCTTGTAAGTGAGACAACGCTTACTAAAAACAAAAAAAAACTGTTACTGAAACTAAGACTAAAAATGATGTACATTGAAGGAGTTTCGATTCATTCTGAGGTCCTTGTTTGCCTTACAGTCTATCTGTGTACCTTGTTGTCTTCTTTAACTTATCTTTGAACAGAGTTGTGGCGGTGGTGATAGAGATGAGGGTGGTGGAGCCAGGATGCTGAGAATAAGGAGGAGGGGAAGATAGATAGACAGACGGATGGACGGACGGACAGACAGCCTACCTGTCAGACAGACAGACAGACAGACAATCAGACAGACAGACAGACAGACAGACAGACAGACAGACAGACAGACAGACAGACAGGTAGCTAGCTAGCTAGATAGGTAGGTAGGTAGGTAGGTAGGGGGTAGGTAGGAGGTAGGTAGGTAGGTAGGTAGGCAGGTAGGAAGGTGAGAGATGACCAATAGCAGAAGAGAAGGAGGAGGAGGAGGAGGAGGAGGGAAGTAAGTAAGCAAGTTTATTCAATGGATAAGGCCATTGGCCCACATCACACCATATAAATCACTCAGTTAAATAACGTTAACATAATGAAAAGGTACAGGTTGTGCACATCTCTCTTATCATAGGTCAAGCATTGTATATTTATGTCACTTGACCGAGTCATGCTGGGAGGAATTAACTAATTTCCTTTGATGGACAAAATTTAAGTTAAGAGAAGGAAGAAAAGTGAATACAAAGACAAAAGAAGGAAAGAAAGAAAGAGGAAGTTCTTAAGTAATCTCATACTGCCCCCCCCCCCTCCCAACCAAACCACTTCCATGCCCCCAAGCTGGTTGGGAACACCATGGAAAGGTTGGGGGGGGGGGTTAACAAGTTGATTAACTGCTCTCTTTGAATTGACCTTAGTTTATTGATATAGCGCTTTTCTTGTTCAGAAAATAAAAGCCAAAAAAAAAACAAAAACAAAACTAACCCCCCAAAAAAGTGTTTGTTATTCCGGTGTGCGTCTTTCACACTGGCTTGACGTCACTCCGGGGGCTCTCGTGGCCTTGAGGTTAAGGTGTTTGCCTCTCATTCAAAGGTTCAGAGTTCGAATCCGGGTAGCAACTGAAACATTTTCTTCTCTAAAAATTATCTCCTTTCACCTCCTTTCCGGCTCTCTAGCAATGTTCTGTAAACTGTTTTCGCCTCCACTTTCTGCCCCCACCCCCTCACCTCCTTTGCCCCCTCCTCTGGGCTCCTGACTCTTTCTGCAGCCTTTCTACTGCTACTCCTTGGCTCCTTCTTACTGCTGTCTGTCAGCCTCGCCCCTGATCTTATGGTAGGAAAGATCTACACATTGCCTGTGAGCGCCGTAAAACACTTACAAAAAGAAGAAACCAAAAAAAAAAGAAGGAAAAAAGAAAGACGTCATTCCGTTGTGTGAGTCCGATACCACTGAGCTCATGCAAGCCGTGGTTTATTTAGGCTAGCACGAGTCTGTTTTCTGTCAGGTATGTCTTTCACTCTCTCTCTCTCTCTCTCTCTCTCTCTCTCTCTCTCTCTCTCTCTCTCTCTCTCTCTCTCTCTCTCTCTCTCTCAATCTATCTGCCTGTTTGTCTGTCTGTCTGTCTGTCTGTCTGTCTCTCTGTCTCTGTCTCTCTGTCTCTGTCTGTCTGTCTCTCTCTCTCTCTCTCTCTCTCTCTCTCTCTCTCTCTCTCTCTCTCTCTCTCTCTCTCTCTCTCTCTCTCTCAAGCGCACCCCCGCCCCCCTGTGGTGTAATGGTTAGCTTTTTGCCGTGTCTCAAAGAAGATCAGAGTTGGATTCCCGGCTGGGGAAGTTTATCAATATCTGTGAAGGGACTCTCGTGGTCTAGAGATTAAGGTATTCACCTCTCATTCAAAGGCCCAGGGTTCAAATCCGTGAAGGGATGGAAAAACTTTCTTCTCTAAAATTGTCTCCTTTCGCCTCCTTTCCTGCTCTCTAGCCTTATTCTGTCATCTGCTTTGGTCTCCACTTTCTGCCCCCATCCACTCACCTCCTCTTGGCTCCTGGCTCTTTCTGAAGCCTTTCTTCTGCTTCTCTTTGGCTCCTTCTCACTGCTGTCTTTCAACCACACCCCTGATCACCATTTGACCAGTGGTCAAGCTATATATATATATAGTCAATCTGACAACCTTAGAGCTGAGGGAATATAGAGCTGAGGGAATATAGAGCTGAGGGAATATAGAGCTGAGGGAATATAGAGCTGAGGGAATATAGAGCTGTGGGGAATATAGAGCTGTGGGGAATATAGAGCTGTGGGGAATATAGAGCTGTGGGGAATATAGAGCTGAGGGAATATAGAGCTGAGGGAATATAGAGCTGAGGGAATATAGAGCTGAGGGAATATAGAGCTGAGGGAATATAGAGCTGAGGGAATATAGAGCTGAGGGAATATAGAGCTGTCGGGAATTATAGAGCTGACCCCTGGTTTGCACCTTTTTTCTAATCTAACATTTACCTTCCTCATCTCTCCTCCTCTTCTTTGTCTACTCCCCAGTAACATCTCTGATCCTCGGCACATATTTGACCTACTTTTGTTGCAAGTGCCGTAAAACTCTTACGAGTGAGTGGTTGTCGGATACCCTGGTGTGGTTTGCTCCTTCTTTCCTATCAAACATCTAAGGGTGGCGTTGGTAGCCCAGTGGTTAGGCTACCGGACTCGTAATCGTGAGATTGCGGGTTCGAGGGTTCGAGCCTCAGCTCGGTCCGACGTTGTGTCCTTGGGAAAGAAACTTTACACGAACTTCCCACTTGGCTCGGTCCTATCGAAGACGGACATTAAACGAGGAGGTCCCGTCCCTTAAATAACCTAATAATGTTGATAGGGGCGTTTAAGTCGTACCATTTCACCATTTCACCATTTTCAAACATCTATCGTCCTTATCTCTCCTCCTTCTTTTTTGCCCATGTTACTCTCTTGTAACACTTCTATTCTTCGGCACTTATATGACGTTATTGTGTTGCAAGTGCCGTAAAACTCTTACTAAACTAAAACTCTAACGAGAACAAATAAGATACCATGCCACTGTTGTTTTTTTCTTCAGGCATGTCCTCCTGTGGGTGAACAGACCTCTGCCATTATGGGTCGTCCAAATTCTTCTGTCCGCCATCACCTTCTTCAAGAGCACACTGCTGGTCTTGATCACAATGAAGGTAAGCTAAAGCTGGTGGGCACACATTTGGTCAGTTGTCTACATCTTGTAGAAAGATGCTGCAAATTGGCGTTCATATGGACCATATGCAGTTGCGAGCGCCGTGAAAAGTCTACTAAAACTAAAGTAAACATGCTGCAAATTGTCGCTTTCTTTCTGTTCTGATTATAGAGAATTCATTACACTCGTTTTAGTGGTAGGCCATGATTAGTGTGTGTATGTGTGTGTGTAAGTGTGTGTGTGTATGTGTGTAAGTGTGTTTGAGAGAGAGAGAGTGCGTGTGTATGAGAGAAAGAGAGAGAGAGAGAGAGAGAGAGAGAGAGAGAGAGAGAGAGAGAGAGAGAGAGAGAGAGGGGGGGGGGATTAATAAATATCCTACTTGTGAAATTGTTAGTTTTAATCGCACGTTGAAAGTCGTGACTATTACTTGACATTTTCTCATGTGAAGAAATCACGATCTACTGCCATGACTCATGTATTAAATTCCTTATAATCAGAATCTTCAGAAAAAGACAATTTTGAGATTCTCTGGCCACATAAGGCGGTGAAATGTCTAAAATCCATATCCCTTGACTAAATATAGCTACGATGACATCAAAGAATAAATTCAAGTAATTATTTATTATTATAAGCACATGGTGACCAAGCAAACGTCCACCATATTGGATACTTTGATCAAATTTAAAAAGCTATCTTCTCTCTTATTTTTCGTCTGTTGGCTTTCATTTTTAGTATGTACAAACTACAATACCTATGTTATGAACAATTAACGCCAGATTCGTAATGTTACGATTATTAAAATAATTATGGACTCTGGAAATATATACTGTGGATAAATAGCAAAATATCTCATAATTCCCAACAAAAACACTGATTGTAACTTTATTTTCTTTTTGTCTTCAAAAAGGCTTTATTTCATTAAAGGTCATCTATGGACGCACATTGTGTAAAAATAGGAAGCTATTTAGATGAAAAATAACGGAGAAGACGTAATTTGAAGTCGCAAAAATAAATATTTGAAAAAAAAAAAATTAAATATTTGAAAACAAGACCCAACATTGCAATAAATTATTTTTTAAAACCCATTTTTACATTACTTCTAAACCTAATTGATTGAAATGGGCGCTTGAGAGTTCTGGGGAAATGGATATAGGTTTCAAAACTGGAGAGACAAAAAATTGCGTGAACAAACTGGGTTAACAGGGGGGGGGGAATTTTACGCGCAGATGGCCTCAAAGAGAGGAAATGAACCAGAGAAACTACTGCTTTGTGGAAAGACAGAGCGGAAGCAGAACAAAGGAAGACAGATAACAACATACACATAACATAACCGGAACTGCTCCCCCCTGAGGCGAGGGCATACAATAGTTTATGTAAATTGTGCCTTCTCGACTCGGGTTCGAGGATCGTGTGTCAGAATCTCCGCAAGTTTAATAGGACGCGAAAAGAATATTCGTGGTAAATGATCAGGGAGTAGAATTCTGCATTTTTAAAGATCATAATCTGTTGCCAGCTTGCTACCTACAACCCGCTTACAAATGCCCCAACCCACCTGCCACTATACTGCCTTCCAACTTGCCTCCTTGTCTTGGCCCGATAGAATAGGCTAACACTAACAATGTGACCTTCGCAGAGACTGTGCCCACCCTTCTCGAACTTCATGGTAACCGTAAAGATTGTTCCAGTAGAGACTGGGATAGAGGGTGCCCACGTCCCTCGTGACTCATTGGAACAGAGGAAAATAGGACTAACGCAAACATTACTTAAACACAATCCGACATCATCACTCATCATCTCCATTACTTTTAAATTCGTCATTGCCCTCAATCAATGACTTACATAAGATTCTATCCTGGAATCTCTGTCTGTAACAGTTTCTTGTCGTACTAAGTATACATGAAATACACTATTTGGCACTATCATACGTACGTTTTTCTACTAATCAGATGGCATCAATCTCGTATAAATGGGCTAGGAATTAAAAAAAAGAAGGAATATAGCCTGAACAACCTTGCAAGTTGAGAGAATGTGAGTGAAAGGGTGTCAGTCTTTAATTCTCTCTCTCTCTCTCTCTCTCTCTCTCTCTCTCTCTCTCTCTCTCTCTCTCCCTCCCTCTTTCAATATAATATCAATCTCCTTCATCTCTTTTTGTATTTCTCTTAATTAATCTCTTCCTCACCTACCCTTTGTCTGTCTGACTGTCTGTCTGTCTGTGTGTCTGTCTGTTTACTTCTCTCTCTTTCTCTTTCGCTCTCTCTCTCTCTCTCTCTCTCTCTCTCTCTCTCTCTCTCTCTATTGGTCCAACCCCCAACAACAACCCCCTCCACTGCACCGCCCCTTTCCATTCAAATGTGTAGGAAGATAGTATTACTTCTGCGTTTGATGGTTGTTGTTTCTTTTCAATCAGTTATTACTAATCAATATTGTTTTCTCCCCCCCCCCTACCCCCTCCCTACTCCCTCCCCATCCCCTCCCTACTCCCTCCCTACCCCCCCCCCACTCCCTCCCCTCCCTCTCCCACCCGCTTCATTTTCAGGGCAATGTGTTCCTTAAACTGACATCTCGGGATTATGTCCTGGAGGTTCTGTGCAGCCTACCAATGGTGGTGTCGGTGAGTT